AGGCCCAGGGCCAACAATTATGAGTCCCAGAGCATCACATGATCCTTTGTGTAACAAAAATTACCCACAGACAATTCAGAGATTTGTCATTTTCATTTTTTGAAGCAGTTACCACATAAATACTTCCAACAGTTTACTTTCACTGTTAAGGCAATTTGGCTACTAAACCAAAATTCTAAGTCACCATATTGTTTGAAGAAAATCATGTTAATGGCCCACATAAAAAAGTGGTTTCAGCTGGGCATCAGTCTGGGCGACAGCTGCACCCTCTTTCAAAAGAAGCATAATTTTAGTTTACTGGTAATAAAATTCACCAGCTATGAGGCAGAAGATGAGGCTGCTTAAGAGATGAATTAATGCCTATGGTACCATTTGTAGAGGTACATGTAACAATACTCTTATTGGAAATATTGCTAGAGTTTTCTTGCACTAGAGGCCAATTTTCCCTTACAATACTTGCAAATTAGAACCTGTATTTTAGGGTAAATGACAAATTAATAAGACTTATTAATTTGTCATTTACCCTAAAATACAGGTTCTAATTTAAAGCTATGTTAGTAAATTATTCAAAAGAAGAATCAGCTTTGAAAGCCATGTCAAAACCAACCTTTTTTACAGTGGCTCATTGTAGGTGATTTTTCTAGGGTGGTGCACTGCTTTGGTCAACAAGACTAATTGTGTTTTTCTTTCTCCTCATCAGTCAAAATTGACACTTTTTTCCATAATGCCACCTACAAAAACAGCTTTATCTAAAACACCTGACCAGAATGACAAGACTTTTAATGCACCATGCCACCTGTACAAGAAGTTCCCTGTTTAAAGTAATGTAAAGTGTGCTCAAAATTAATGTCTGTTCTGTTTGTTTCATTCATCAAAGTTAATTGTTGTGCTTTGTAAGCTGGCTCTTTTATTTATGTTTTTGATGTCTCAAACTATCATTGATACAGTTATGCTTATGAAAATTCAATGTTGTATGAGAGATTTACCAACCCTACCCCTCACAGTTTTGTGACGTTGATCAGCACTACCAAATTAGGGCTAGGGCAACCAAATAAGGTAATGAGCACCTGCGTGCTGAGTTAGCTAGAACTGGACGAGTCGAAAATAGTACAGTGAGGGCGAGTCTTCCTTTGAGGTTTTTTTCATCGAGTTTTGAGACAGTTTTGTGAGTTAGATTGAAGCGGAATAAACCAGGAAACCATGTTATTGGGAGTTCTATGGGCTGCTTTATTGTTCAGCTCAATGTCACCCTTTTGTTTGAAGAAATCACGCAATAGCCCAAACCAAAGATTGTGTGAGCAGTGCAACTGTTTGGGCAACATTGCAGCCCTTTTCAAAAAAATCAAAATTTGCAGAAGGTTAAAGTTTACAGGAATTCAAATTTAATTGTATTGGTGTATATAGTTTTGTATTTATTTTTTGTAAATAAATCTATTATGCTTTTATCACCTGGTATTCTTTGATGTACATGTGCATTTGCTCATTGTTATGGATACTTCCACATTATACATGTAAGTGAAAAAATTGTTATCATTCACTATTATGGTAAATTTGACACAACTAACTGCCACGTTTTTGGATTTGGTGTCACTTCACCCACCCTTTTCAGTATGACAAGTATCCAACAACTTTGCACATTAGATCATATATTTGAATGCTATTTTACACCTAATAAATAATAAATTATTATTAGTAAGTAAACATCCAACCCTAAGAACACATACAGACAGTTGCAGATGTCAAAAATGTCGATGGAAAAGATCGAGAATAGATATTTTCTTGGTACATATGTATCCAATATGTTCACATTAAACAATTCAAATAGATACATACCCTGAATAACACTAAGCCAGAAGTACAAAGTGACTCTGAAAGGTATGACACATTAACGCAAGTTCAGCTTTGCGTTGAATGTATTTAATGATGGATGCAACAGGTACAGTACTTTGTTCCTAGACACAGCTAATATCCATTGATGAACGTTTAGTTGGTTTAAAAACTTCACCTGAACTTATCCAGTATGTACCCAATGAACATCACCACAAAAGGGATGCCCATTTGTATCAGTGAATGATTCTGCTACAGGACAGAGTAATACATCTGTGTAATGTGGAAAGAACCGTTCAGGTCCATCACCAAAATGTGGCCACTCTTTTGATGTCATGAAATACCTCATGACTAATGTAGGTATTTTAACAAAGCATGCTACCACTCTTGCAGAATTTCTGGACAAAAAAAACAGACCCTTGTGACAGGAACTCTGCTTGCAAACAAAAAAAGGTGTACCCATTCACCACAGGAATACCAGCAGGTACTGTTAACCACAAAAGAAGGGATGGAAGCACCAAATAGCTCCGTAAACCACGTACAACAAGCACATGGAAGGAGTAGATATACTGGATCATACAGGTTGACTCTTAGACAGGCAAAAGACCTTTCATTAAGTTTTGAAAACACTGGATGGCTTACTGCACTAATTTTATCCTCTATAACAACAACTGCCCTATCCCAATTTGAATTTATGTCAACTTTGTTCCAAGAGATTTGATGCTCAATTACCTGCAGAAGTTCCAAATTAGCACACGATTGTAATGCTTCCAAGGAAAAAGTAACAGGACTGTGTGAACAGTTCCTGGCGATCAAAAGACAGCCTGTACCCATTGCGTAGGCTGCCAAGTAAGGGTGCATTTAGAATGCTTTGAATTAATTACTTGAACACAACACCAATAATAAGAAACGGATTATCGAAGTTTCTTTTAAAGTTTCTGGCCTCATTTATTTAATGTGATATACAAATGTCAGTGACTCTACCAGTGCCTTGAGATATATTAATTTTTCACTCAAGAATTTTTCACTTGAGCAAGAGGGTAAACTCCCTTCCTTCTATCAAAGGCATGTTGATGATACGCTCACCATTATGCCGAATATAGAAACAGCATCCAACTTCCTGGAGACGCTTAACAAGGCACATTCCTCCATAAAATTCACGATGGAAACCATATGCAATGGCATGCTCCCATTTCTGGGCATCCAGTTACTGAATCGATCACCTCAAATAGAGACAAAGGTGTACGTAAAACCCATGAATTCAAGTCTGCTCTTACAATAGCAGAGTCACGTTGACAATCGGTACAAACAGGGTTTACTGAGAACAATGCTGGATTGAGCATATCATTTATCTTCTTGTTGGTCACACTTCTCAGACGAATGTAACCGATTGAAGACAGCATTCTCACATTTAAAGTACCCCAAACACCTCGTCAACTCTAACATTAAAAGTTTAGTTGACTCAAAGGTTTGTGACCAGCAGCGACCTTTATCACCAGCTAAAGAGACGGACGACACAGTTCGAGTGGTTTACCATTTAAAGACCAAATCTCAGCAGATATTGTGAAAGAACAACTCAAGGATCTGAGCCTAAAAGTAAACACCACCATCAAGCCTGTGTTTGCCAGCGGGAAAATTGAACAAGAACTGAATGTGAAAGAAGCAAACCCACCGATCGTAAATGAACAGTGTGTAGTTTATAACTTCCAATGTGACCTTTGTGATGCAGGCTATGTAGGTTACACATGCGGACATTTCCACAATCATGTAAAAGGACATAAACAACAGTCCTCTGCCACTGGCAAACATTACAAGACAATCCCTCGGGACCTGCTGAAACATTTCCAAGTGGTTAAGAAATGCAGGAACAAATTTGACTGTTTAGTGTACGAAATACTTTTCATAAGAACCTTACATGTCCAGCCAAATCTCAACGTACAATCAGACTCTATTTGTGCGAAAGTCTTTTCATAATCTTCGCACCCTGTTATGTTAATTTTCGTGCCACATTGCTTGATTTGGGCAGTGAGGTTGATTGTTGGTTAAGATCTAACACGGTTGCATTTTAGTTTCCCCCACATTTCAGTATCGAAAGACAAATACAACATGCAAGAAAAACAAAGATGCATGATAGGATTTTTTTCAGTTTTTTAAGCATGATTTCTGATTTCCTCTGCCGGTTCGCTTCTTGCTTCTAAAAATATTTACTGTGGGAAAAATACTGTAATTATCTGCTGACCACCACGCTGGGTGACCGCTTTGAAAGTTGTGAGAACAATGTTCTCGGTCCCAGACCTCATCTCTTCCCCCCCCCCTGATCAGGGATTTCATTAAGAATTGCAGTAGCCGGAGGATAGTGTACAGTAAACAGGAGAATATTTTGAAAGAGCGCAGCCCTTTCCCAGAAAGAGCTTGAAAATGAGCCTGGAAATTTTGCGTTTTAAACCCTGCTGAGATGGCTTTTCCTATTGTCTGATAGCAAATGTTTTTTCTTGTAGCTGCCGAACAAAAAACACTGCATACCTCTACATGGTTTCAAAACATTTTTTCTTCAAATTAACAGGCATACTATTAAATTATGATCAACTTCCAACCCTGTTACACACTCCTAGAGTTGTGACATGTGACTCTATCTTATTAAATACTAAACATACCAAAGAGGGAAAATAAAATTATTCTCAATATGCTTTAACTTCAATTCAATATTTTAGGATGTTTTCAATAGTGAAATGACGAGACGTGAGAAACTTTTCCTGCCTCTGTCAGCGAAACATATGCTTGCACTAGACAGAACACATTTAAACAAACTCGCTCTCACTGCAAAGCTTTGCGTGTCCGGTTTAGTAGACAATTTGTCGAATATCGATGAATATTTCTTCTTTGTTTATTCTGCAGTTATAATTTATAATGTGCCATTTTAGAAGTCATTGTTAAAATAGAAAAATCTCACAAATTAAATTGGCATTTGCCTCTTATAGTAATTTGATACCCTGTCATTTATATACGGTAAACATCGCCAAATTTATTTCCAAAGCAGCTCACAAAGGAATCATTCTTTTTGTTCACAAAGGTACTTGATTCTTACTGCTTAAACTTTTCTTGTCATGACTTTGCCAGTACGATTTGTTCATCATGCACTTACTTTGGTTTCACGTTTTTGTTTCAGTATTCATTCGTTTAATAATTTTGCATGTGCAAATAAAAAAGCGTCTTCAGCAAACTTTCAAATATTTTACACGTCCGTTGTTAGTTTTCTTGGGCTTAAAATTGCTAGCATTTAAATAAGATCTTTTACGGGTTATTGTCATTTATTTGGGAATGTAAAGCAAGTAGCTAAGTGCTAAAATTACGCATTTCCGGGAATAATTTCTTTTTACAGTAATATAACATATGCACGTCTTATTCGTTTGAATAAAAAATAGCCATACTCCATTGAAATCAAATCCGAGAATTATGCGTAGTAGAGGGAGAATTCTCCAATCTCTGATGCTTAATGGAACCCCTGTATATACCAAGCATTGTTTGTGCAAGTGAACCACGCTACAGATCACACCGTAGAGTTGAGATTTCATTTTCCGTGCCTACATTATCGAGGAATTGCATAAGTCAGTTACCATGACAACAACTATTATACCACTTGTATAATTTTGAAAAATCATTTTTACTTACATACACAGTGATTTTGCTACCTCTGCATCCTGCATCCATGACACATAAAAATTCCCAAAGATGCAAAATAATTCATGGCATGCGTCCTGTAGGTAAGACACAAAGATCGATCAATCAATCTGAACATGTGGATTTGTAGAAATGTGTGGTTCCAGAAAATATCCATACCACCCCCACAGAGGGGATTTTGCCATATGACCCCCCTCCACTCTGGATTTTCCAAAATCGGCCCCCAAAATTTACCCCCCCCTTCCCTCCGAGATTATCAAACTTTTCACACACCCCCTGGAAATATTGCCATCTCTAATTGAAGTGGACAAAGAAGTAGTTTTGATCACTAGGATGCCAAATTTTGTGAGTTTCATGCATTTTCTGTTGAATTGCATAACAGATAAGTGAATTCCTTATGCGAACTCCTTGCACGCTCAAGTCACGGACAAATTTTGTGCATTTCATGTAACTTCTGTTGAATTCTACAATTCTGCAAATGAAATGTAAGGTCGGGTATGAAACATAACTGTACTTTTCTCGCGTAGCGTCAAGAAGAAAGCAACACTTGAAGAAGTACTGTGTAATTAAAGAGATCAGGACCTCGTCGCGCGATGAGACAGTGTAAGTATCGAATTTCGTTCTACCAAATTTGCGGTAAAATTGCGTGTCGCTGATTTCATTGATAAGAAAATTGTCACGCATAGTTTAACGTGCTGGAAAAGACTCTTGTAACTTCTTTGTGATAGAGAAACAGTCAAGAGAAGAAGAAATGCCACCCATTAAAAAAATATATTTTCCGTGTTTTGTGTTCTTGACATGCAAGGAAAATGAAGTTTCGTTCCACTGGCTCATAAACTACAAAAGCGCAAAAGATAAAAAAGAGTAGAAAGAGCAGAAAAAGATTTGCAAATTTAAAGCACCCAGTAAAAGTTGCAAAGGAGATCTTTTTTGCTCACAGTAAACAACTAATTCTTTTTTTTTTTTTTTCGTGTTTGTTCAAACATGAAACAAGGCAGTTATGTGCGAAACCTTTTTAAAATCACTTAAGGTTCTTAAGCAAGGGAGTGAAAGTTAAATTCGAAAAGATTTTGGTCTCATGCTAGGCAACAGGTTCTTGGCAGATTCTGTTAATTAGGGTAAAAATACACACACGTAAATCGTGGAAAGTGAAAAAAGTGATTCACGTGCTATTTTCGTCACACAATCGAATCAGCAGTATTGACATCTTAATTTGAAAGCTAGAAAACAACAAACAAATATCTCACAGTTGCTTCTTTAAATTACGATCCTAACATGTGAGGATTTACAGATTCCAATTCATCAGCGGTTGTTGAACACGTCAAAGCAAACTCATTCATTATTGACAGCCGGGAAAAAAATAAGACAACAAAAAAACGCCTAGAGATTCAGGCTAAAAGCTGTGATTATTTTGAATCTTGCCATACCTGGTTCAAAATCCCAGACTTTGATCTACCAGAAGACCTCAAATGATAATATTTTATTTGCTTGGCTGGTGTTTTTGTCACAGGGCAAGTGAGCCAACACTTGTACCTGTTTTTGGGTATGGTGGACCCTGAATTAAAGACATCAACAAAGCCATTAGTTTTCACCATTGTTTCTTATGTTCAGGTCATTTTACTGTTTAATTCATCTTCAAATGAACCAAGTTTTCATGGTTTTTTTGTGCTTTGTTTTGGTTTGCAGCACTAAATACAACAGTCTCAATCTACTGCTATTTTTCACATACAAATATTAAACTGTTGCCGTAGTAGATTTGATTAAGCCACCAACTTAGAAACTGACAGGTTACAGATTATTTTAAACTACAGGTGTGGCTGCTTTAAAGGAAGTAAACACACAAAATTAAAGGTGTGTGCGATTTTGTTACCTCTATGACCTGTGTCCCTGGCACATAGAAATCCCCATAAGACACAAAATGATTCATGGCGTGTCTCACATAGGATGCAAAGAATGATTGATCGATTTGAAGATTTTTTGGTAGAATATCCTGTTATGGACATCCGTTCGGACTTCCATTTTGCATACATTATATTTGTTCAAATTACCCTCTCCTCCCAGCCACAGGCAGTTCCCATTGGCTAAATTTTGATACAAGCTGTTAAGTTATGTTTTCAACAAGTCGTTTATGATGTTCCCTACTGTGATGAATTCATTGTCTGTTGGCATGTTCTCTAGTTTGCGAAAGCACAGTGGAGCAGTTTCTTACCTTTATTAATTTTGCACAGCAAGCAAACATTTGTGGAGAAAGATCTAGATTTTCCTTCGTCACGGAAAACAAAAAGTTTGTTTTCAAGAACATCAACCAACGAACTTTGGTAACATTTTATCTTTCCTTGTAGGGGCAACAAACATTTTTTCAGAGCTTATATCCACTCCAAAACCTGCAGACCTGCATTTTGAAACAACAGTTGGACGATCCTACAATATTACCTGAAACGCTTGGCTCTTTTCCGCTTTCTCCTTCTCTTCTTCTTCGAGGAGCAGGCACAGTCTTTATCAGCGTAGTGCCACTATATTTTAGTGCAACTTTCGCTTGCCATTGAAACTCACGTGCTTTCATAAACAAAAGTTTCCTTGTGATGACCAAATTCGCATTGATGACATTATCATAGGAAGCATGATTTAAGGAATGAAAAGGAGCATTCAACCTTCTGTTAAAAAACACCTAATAACAGATCTTGAGGTACAATCCTTTGGGTTACCACAAATCGGCAAGGCACGTGCTCGAAAATATGATTCACCAGGATATTTCAATTGCCTTTCATATAGAATTAAAACAAAGCTGTCGTGTTCGCAAGGTCAACAGGACATCGAATTTCAATCGCCCTTCCTAAAATTAAAAACAGAAAGATGAGTTGAGAGTCAAGGGACTGAATTGGAATTTCTGGCACTTTTTAACAACATTTTCTTTCACAACACCGCCAACATCATTACTCTATTAGTCTTGGTGGCAAGCGCATAATGGCAAATTCTTTTCCAGTGACAATCGCCATATCAGCGGCCAAAGAGTACATGTTCATTCCCTCATACGCAAATTTATTTCATGTTGATAACGTCGCAGTCAAAATGTAGGCTCTTTTAAGTCTCCGAGTTTTTTCAGCACCATGAGCCAGATAGACATTGGTGAAACTGGA